TTCCCCAGAAAATCCTTCGTTTTTCTCCAAGAACTTCGTCGAGAGGGTTGGAGAGCAGGGCACATCACTGGTTGGGGAATTTGTTCGAGTCCGTAAGACCCACTCCCAACCCCCAAGGGCTGGCTTGACTCCTCTGGTTCCCTCCTCTGATCGAGCTGTTCGAGGGGTCTGATCGAGCTGTTCAAATCAACAATCAGAATAAATTTTTTTCAGCCTAAATGCCACCCCTGTTGGGGAATCCTCAACAACGATGCGCCCTGGTGGGGAGGGAAGATTCCATAGCGCATAAGGAACGGGAAGATCCGAGAAAAGTTCGACATACGCTGATTTCATTAGCATTTCAAGTGCAAGCAAACATGGAGAAGTATGCCCGCTCCAGGCCGAACTGCAACGAAAAAGTTAGAGATATTCCCTGCCCTAAGCCCAGCTGATCCCAAACCTTATAAGAAAGTTATAAGCAAAGAAAAAAGTCCCCATTGCTGAATAATGTTATTTTTTAGTGAACCAGACAGTAAGAAGGCGCCATGTTCTTTCAGGCCAGATGGATGTTATATTCGTGTTCAGGAGGTCGAATTACCTCTATAACCCGAATTTCAGCCAAATCCGCTTTCGTAGAAAAAAGTCGATCAAGATCCGCCCTGTTTTGGCAAAACTGGGGTAGTAATAGTTGAATAGTGCCGAATTTTTCTCCAAATACAAACAAAACAGTAAGATGTATGCCCCTCCCTGTTCCCGAATTTTCTAATAAGAATGTTGTGAGTAATAAAAGTCCCTGTATTTGAATACAGTTATTCTTCGAGCACAGCCAAACAGCAAAAAGTTTTTCGCTCCTAAACCGACTTGCAACAAACACTAAGAAGTACCCTTTCCCCCCAATCCGAACTCCTCCCGAAAATTCAAATGAGAATCTAATAAATAGTTTGATAGTTATTTGATTTCATATAGTATCTCAAGATCTACTATATTTTTTGAAATTTTGTTCCAATGAATTAGAGGGGTGAATTAGAGGGGGTGATTCAAAGACGCTAGAAAGATCTAAGCTAAAACACAAGATCTCGCCATTCAATATCGAGCCTCCTAAGTCTCCAAACGTAAATTATAACTGCATTCGGAGCGCAAAAAAATAGTAAGATGAATAAAAAAAGAAAAAAGAAGGAATGAAAGAGGTAAACTAACCCATTGAGTGGTAAAAACGTTATTGATGGCGATGACAGCTATGCATAAGATGAGACGCATGACGAACGTAATTTATCGGAGACAATAAACAATGACCAAGCCCTGTCAGTTTTTTTTGGGCGAACTCAAATGTGTAGATCTATCTGCAACAACCCTTAATGGTGATCCATATGAAGTTCTACGATCGCGCCATCGCAGTTTACGGGTTTAGCCGTGGCGCTTAGATCCTCACGCTAATATCCATATAAAAGCCTTTTTATGTACATAGCACATCAACACATCGACGACGATGAAGCTCATCTTCCTCGTCCTCGTGGGTCTTCTGGTAGTGGCAGCAAATGCCATTGAACAGGTACCGGACCCTGCTCGGCCCTTTAAATTTATTTTTGTGGACCCTTTTTTTCTATAGGAAACAAATGACGACGATGAGAGCGAGCTCGCGACCGTCAACGCCAACGACGATGGATTCTCCATAACACTGGAGAAAGCCGACGGTGATGATGAGGTTGAAACTGCTATCGAGCCTACTCGAGTTAAAAGAGGTGCACGCCGTAGTCTGGCCAAACGTCGTAGAATCAACAGATTCAAGGTTAGTTACAGTACCGGGTTTATGTCATTTCGTGACAGGACCACCATCATCAACTCTCATCCTGCCTTCTTTCAGCATCGCCGAGCTCGCGCTCTTCGTCGCCGTCATGCAAAGAACATTCGTAGGGCTGCCAAAAAACGTGCACGTCACCAGCGTCGTGCCAGAATTGTTCACCGCCGTATTGCCAGAAATCGCCGCCGTCAGAGAATCGCTCGCGGATAAACTCCGCGGCCTTTTTAATCTATTTACCATGTAATGTAAATAAATATTCTCTGTGCATGTTCGGCCTGACAGAGAAGCTTGAGCTGCGGGGAAGAGGAGCTCATAACGAACACAGTACGCGGGTCAAATCTAAGGAGTGAAATTCTTCGATCAACCAAGCTTCGTCAAAGTACGTCAGGGATCTCCAGCGCGGGTAAGGGGTGGAGGGGGCCTATTTGGTCGCTGAAGGGAGAGAGAGGCAAGGCAAGCATGTGGAGGCAAGTGGCAGAGCTTACCAAGAACAGTAAAGCAGTCAGGGCACGTACTGCCGCAGGGGAAAAACTTTGCCAGTTACGAGTTTCTCAAAACTTCCTCCTCTGCTACGACCCCTCTTTCCCGCTCTGTCTCCCCTCTTAGCCAAGATCTCTCTGAATTTTTCGGAATCTCTTTGGGCAGAGTCCAAAAGATCAGCATTTATAACCCTAGGATATCCACTC